GTGCATTAGTGTAATCTTATTTTGGCCTCCCAAGCTCCTTTGAAAAATATTCATGAATTAAACAGTTTAGCAAAAGTCAAACAAACAAACAAATAAAACTCAAGCCATGAGAGTCTGTGATTTCTTTCAGTTTGATTCCAGCTGAGGAACATTCAAATTTGGGGTTTGCTTATTTCAACCTTTTTTTTTTTTTCCTTTTAAATTGTGGTTTCAGCCATACCTTTGAAAGTATAATTTTCTTAATTAAAATAATAAAAAAGTTTCTCAAAGTCAGGTGGGCTGCTTTGGATTATGGCTCTATCTCCTCTGTATCTGTCTGCCGTTTTACGGTGACCACTTTTCAAATTAAATCTTTTTTTCCATCCCTTCTGCACCACATTTCCCCTAGATCATAGTCTTCTGATGTGAAAGGATGGGATTTTTAACTGACATGCTTGTCTGTTGAAAGAAGTGTTCAACAACTATATTATTTATTTTCCATTTAAGTCTTACATGGTATAAAAAGGAAAACCTGCGGTCCCTGTTTCTGAATTCTCCATCAACACAAAGGTAGCACGTTTAATGTTTAAAGAATTGATAAAAAAAAAAGCAAAACAATATAAAGAGCAAAACCCAAATTGCCCATATCATGCAGTAGTCATAGTTAAGATTTCTGAGTAGGGCATAGAAGTTTTGAGAGAGGTGTGATAAATGCTTCAGAAATGTTGAAAGTAAATTCAAAAGTGTGGTTTGAAAGGCTTTGGGATTTTCTTTCACACGTACAAGTTTTGTTCATGTGAAAAAAAAAAAGTAGGACTCCTCAAATTGGATATTGAGCCTTTTTTCTTTTTTTTTTCTTTATTTCATTCTTTATTTTTTTGTGTAGAAATAAACATGAGCCTGACACCAGGTTTGTGTGGGAGTAAGGTAAATGCGGGCTCTATGACTGGATGTACTGTTTGGGTATAAACATTAGATTCCATATTGCAACTGTCTGTCATTGCTTTTGTCATTAATCAAGTAGGTACTAAAATGTATAGCAATGCTTAACCGTATTTAATGTAGTTCATTTTTATAATCACTGCTAGTAGCTATCCAGTGCAGGTGGTAGCTTTTTTTTTTCCTTCCCTGATTTAAGATCATGAGATCCTTTACTATCTTTCTATAGAATTGGCATCTAAATAAACAGGTTTGATTTGATCTGTTAAATTTGGTATCATTTGTGACCTAGTGGCAGTGCAGGATTTAAAAATCGTGGACATTGCTAAAGTGTTAGAAGAGGAGGAAATAAATTCAACTGATTCCTGTGTGTGGCCTGATGCTAAGTCAAACACATCTATATCCCTATTTGGAAATATCTGTGAATTTAGAGGTGAAAAGTGAATTTGAAAAAAAAAAAAAAAAAGGAGGAATTAGTGTGGTTCTGTTGAACTTACTCTGTTCTTTGTCTACATAGAACTTTTTATTTCATTCAGTTAGTTTTGTTTAAAATGTCCTATTAAAATTAATGACACAAAAATGTGCATCAAGTAAAGTCTTATAAAATCTCTGTCAAAATCTTATCATTTTATGTTTGACCAAATGTTTTCATCATTCCTCCAAGCTTGGCTTGGACCACTCAGGTGTTTTCAAATTTTTCATCTTTCTAATTAAAACAAGCTTTCACTTTCCGTAATCCGTGATAATGATAAAAATATCAATATAATGTAATGAGTTCTACTGTTTGTTAATATTGTCAGGATATCCACTCTACCAGATAACTTCAAGTTCTATGGGAGAAATTCTCTTGGAACAAATAGATAGCTAGTATAGTTTAGTAAATTTGTTTAGCAAATAATTTGGCTCCCATTTCCAAGAAGCTATGGATTTTCCCTATGACTTAGACCTTAAAATGTGGTCATCTTCTTAGAGATCTTTCCATTCATTTTCGTAGTGCATCTTTTTTACAGCAATGTACTGTCAGGTTGGTCTTCCTGAGGGTAGAAAAAATATTTTTATTGCAGGAATGAGTATATATGTACAACATATACATAAGAGAATATATAATCCAGAAGACTATCCAAGCCCAGCTTTGTCTCTCTCTCAATTAGAAGAAATTCTGACTGTCAAGTTAACTTATCCTACTATTTTTCTGTTCTAGAATGCTTCCACTTGGAAGTTGTTAATTTCTTTCTTTCTTTTCTTTTTTTCCCCCCAACCCTAACCCCCCTTTAGGCTGAACAAATCTTTCTTAAGTGTTTGGACAATTTTTCTATCCTTGTTCTTCCATTACTACTGTCATTTGTATGCCAATATACCATATAAATAGCTCCTAGACAATAAGACTGTGTTAGAGATTGGTGACAACATAAAAACGTAAGACATAGTTTCTAGCCTCCAAGTGTTATCTTCTTTAAGAAGGAAGAGAAACCAGGTCCATAGTACTATTAAACAAAAAGACAGATTATTCATATAGATTGTCAGAGTGGAGTGGGGGTGGGGAATGGGCAAAATGGGTAAAGAGGAGTGGGAGGTACAGACTTCCAGTTATGGAGTAAATAAGTCACAGTGATGAAAGGTATAGCAAAAGGGATTATAGTTAATGGCATTGTTAGCATTGTATGGTGACAGGTGGTAACTACACTTAATGGTGAACATACAGAATTGTCATATAGATTTGTCAAATCATTCTACGTTGTATACCTGAAACTACTGTAACATTGTGTGTCAACTATACTTCATTAAAAAAAAAAAAGATAATAATAGCAAGCATGTATATAGATCATACTTACTCTCCATGAGGCACAGTATTAAGTGTTTTATGTATATTAACTTATTTTATACTTAGCGAACTCTATACTACTGGATGAAGAAACCAAGTTACAGAAAAGTTGTGTTACTTGCTTATTGTTGAGTAGCAGATCCAAGCTTGGAGCCAGGTAATCTGGCTCTCCAAGTTCAGGCTCTCACCCTGTTTTCCTTTGCCTAAGTTTCTTCATTTGTTTGTTTGTTCGTTTTTGAAAGGTGCATAGTCTACACTGAGAATTTGGCAGGATGAAACAGTCCATCACCCTGGATTAGGTTCTCATTGCTTCATCCCACACTGTTACCAATTCTCCCTTGCCCACACCCTTCTTCTTAGACCCTGAATTCTAGAAAGGTTTTCTGTATTCCGTAAATATTGATGGAATGGAATCTATTTGAATAATCTGTATATTGAACATTGATAGAAACAAAGATGAACATATTTTGACTGTGAATTATCAGTTATTCAATGTCAGATATTCTGAGTTTAATTTCCAATAAACTAAATTCAAGTCTCACAGATTTAAGACTTAAGGTTGCTTTTAATTTTCCATGTTAATGACGTTTTTAATTGGCTCATTCTTTAAAAGATATGGCAAAAGGGACCGATTCGTTTTTGTTTTTGTTAAGATTTTATTTATTTATTTGACAAACAAAGATCACAAGTAGGCAGAGAGGCAGGCAGAGAGAGAGGAGGAAGCAGGCTCTCTGCTGAGCAGAGAGCCTGATATGGGGCTCGATCCCAGGACCCTGAGATCATGACCTGAGCCAAAGACAGAGGCTTTAACCCAGGGAGCCACCCAGGCACCCCATAGGACTGATTAGTTTTAAAAAATGAAATTTATACATCATCCAAAAAAGATAACTTATGAGACCACTAAAATTTTATCAGAAGTTTATCAAGAAATCATCTGATAGACATTTCACTTTTTCTCTATGCTTGTTTATTCTTTAGTATATTACCTATCAGATAGCCAAAAACTGGGAACAAAAGAAGAGAAGCAATAAATAAATAAAAATTGTCTATTCTTTTTACCTGGTTTTGTACAACTGTTTAAAATCATTGTATTTTTTTTTATTTATTTATTTTCCTTTTAGAAGGTATCAGAAGTGTGTAATTGGAGTACTTGCTAGGTAAAAGGTCTAAATTTGAATCACTATTGAAAAATTCTGGTTTCTAATACAAATGTTCATTTGAAAGTGATAGATGGTCCTTCAGGGACCCTGAAGTGTTTTCATGGATTCTCATGCCTGGTTGGCAGTTTTATTGAAAATGGCTGTAAATCAGGAAAGAACACTGAAAATACATTTCATGTCATCTTTAAACCAACTGTAAGTTATTGTCCCAGAAAATGAAGATGCCATTTTTAAAGAAAGAAGCATGATAGCTATTGAAATAGATAGAAAAAATATGTTCCCAGGAAAATATCACCAACAGTTACTGAATAATTACAGTATAAATGGGAGTGGTATGGAAGATAAGGATTAAAATCAAGATTGTACACGGACTCTAAAATTTAAATTTGCAGAACCTGGTGCTTTTTAATTTTTTATTTTAGATTTTTTTTGGAGGTTGTTGCTCTTTTACAAGATGTTTATTGACTAGCAAATTGAATTTGAGCTCATATGCTATAGGAACCAGGTGAACTCACATTCTCCAAATGCATCTGTTGTTTGCTTCTTCCAGAATAAATATTACAATTCTTGATGAACAACAGCTGGAAGGTTTGCATGTGGTTGCATTCCTCATGGGTTCACAGGATGAAATCATTTGTGCACCAATGACAATTTTAAATGGGGAGCAAAAGCATATTCCATCATAAGATTCCAGAAAAAAGCAGTTTTGTAAAAATGTGTTTTCCATTTTTAATCTTCTTTTAGCTATATGTTTTAGGATAGTGAATGAGTTGGAAGATGGATTTTCTGTGACTTACCTTGTTCCTTTAATTATCTTTAAGAAATTAGTATGTACTAAATGCCAAAATCCAGTTACAATACATTAAAAATTGGAGCAATCAGGTCAATATACTGCTAAGTAATATTTTTATAGGTATCTTTCAAGGCATATGAAACACTCATTAATGTTGAACTTATTATATTGTGTTGGATGTGGAGAAAGTTTTCCCTCTCAATAGATTATGGAGAAGTTGGTTAAATGGTGCTCATGGGCAGAATCCTAGACTGGAAATGAGTGGCTGTGGCCACAGATTCATGGCCATGGGCAAAGACTGTCATCTCCCTGAACACACTTCCTCTTGTATAAGATGAGGGGTTTGCATTGGATGATTTCTCTTCTCAAACCTGTGAGCCTGTGATAACTTCTACACCAGTCTTAAATTCCTTGATATTTGCTTCCAACACTAATCTCATCCTTTCCTGACTTTCACTGTAGGTATTATCTGTTCCATAATTTGTGGTGTTTGATTCTGTTTAATGATCTACTTTATCATCTAGTCTTTTATAGGGCTAATCTGGTGGTTGTTTTTGTTGTTGCTGTTGTTGCTGTTGTTGTTGTTTTTTCCAGGAGCACACATTTAGTAATATTTACTGTCTCATAAGGTTAATTCTTCTTGTGACAATGAAATATTTAAGCATCTCTAGGAAAGTAACCTTGTTCTATGTTGCCTTGCTTTTCCAATTCTCCTCGTAACACATTACAGAATAATTGTCACAACTATTTTGAAGTGTTGATAAACTTAACAAATTCAGTTATAAACTTATTCGGAACCCATGCAGTATGTTTGATTCAGAACCATAGAAATAGAACAAAGCTAATACTGCAACAGGGCTCGGGAAACCTGATTTTCAATGACAGTCAACATTATGTGACTCTACGCTACTGAACAGGTCATTTTGTGCTTCAGTTTACTTATCTCCAAAATGAAGGGAAGAGACCAAGTAATATCTAAGATTCTCTAACTTTCAATTTCTTAATTTTTTTCCTGTTAATGTCATCCCATAATGATGAACAACTTTGCTTAACATTTTCAAAAACATAGCCTACTTTCCCTCAAGCATTTTAATTCATCATTTAATTCAGTGTTTCAGCACATGTTTATTGAGCAGTTATTATGAACCAACAACGGTGAGCCAGAAAGTACAAGATTTGAATCCACTTACTATTTAAACATGGGCAAATATTTTCACCTTTTTGCTACATTTGCAAAATGGAGATGGCAACATTCGCCTTACAGGGTTGCTATGAGGTTTAAATGAGGCAATGCAATCAAGACTTTAGCTCAGTGCCTGCCAGAGAGGATGGGATTAATACTGTTATTAACACTGTTATCATGCGATGCATTTAATTTTTAAACATTAATTGGGGATTGTATTTAATGGTCTATATAGTATATATATAGCCTAGCTGATTATTTGAATATAATAAATTCAGATTTTCAGATGCAATTTTATGTTGAACAAGTTACTTATCCTCTCTATTAGAAACTTGGGACAGAAATGCCTGTCTCTTGTACTACAGGATTAAACGGGTTTAAAGTGAGGTAATATACAGAAAACGTGCAGTATAATGTTTGACATCTGAGGCTTAAAAAGGTTTGTTTCTGGAAAAATCTAACCTACAGTGATTAGGCAAACTAACCTAGTTTTGTTCTAGGGAAAATTCATCTATGGAGGTCACCTCTGGTACAGAATCATCTGGAAAGGGGCACGAATAAACCATTTGGGGTGACAGAAATATGCTCTATCTTAATCTGGGAGTGATTATATAGATGGATACGTGGGTCAAAAAATTCTTAGAGCTGTAGAATTAAGATTTTTCCTTTTTGTGAACAAATTTTGCCTAAAAAATTGTTTTTCTTCCCTAAACATAAATACTATTAAACATAAATACTATAACCAGAAGAAATATCAATTAATAATAATACTAATAATAATTTTCAAATGCCATAACTACAATATTACTCCAATCCAGTATTTTTTCAACAGTTCATAAAAATGAAAAAGGGTACCCTGATCCCAGGAACCTCCCAATGTCTGAGAGCAGTTGGAGGAACACTCAGGGGTTTGACATATTTCACCACCCAATTGTTTCAATTTGGCACACCATATTTTAGGATATTTATTGCCTGCCTCATTCTTGAATCTACTCTTTGCCCTGGTGCACACAAAGCCATACATTATGGGATATTATTTTTACAAGGGCTTGGTCAAAGGAACCTGATCAGTCCTATTGCCACTTTCTTCATGTATTTCTCTGAGATGAAGAACCACTTATGATTTACTTCAATCAAGCTTTATTTAGGATTGGGTCTGTAGGAAGGGGTGGAAATGGCGGGGGCAGGAGCGGAAGGGACAGCGTAAATATATACATACAGTGTGTGAAAATAAATAAAGGCATCTTTTGTTACAGCTGGTTGCAAGAGAAGTTTCTGCTTGCACTGCTGAAGATAGTAGGAGATTAGTGGAGTTGTAGCGAAGTCAGGACAAAGGCGGGCTGTGTGAGAGGGATCAGTGTGTTTGCTCAGTGGAGCTCTCTGTCCGGTTGTTGACAGATTTAACTGGTGTCATCTTGGGCCTGGCTAGCTCCGCCCCGTGATCGTCGAGGGGCAATCCTCGCAGTAGTAAATGGCCATGTGGAGTATAGCATGAATTCCCTATTTGTGTAGTAGCTGTAGTTTAGGGTGGGGATTTAATATTGAATGGACTCCAGATTGTCTAAATCGCAATCACAGTGTTTATTTAAATAGCCTATGGGGACCATTAAAGCATTTTAACTTTTGCTCCTATGTTTCTCATGTTATGAAATCTGGAAGCACATGGGGGAGAAAAGAAAAATCCAGCCTTGTAAAAGCATTAGGATGCTCGAAGTTCTCCCTGCTGCCAAAAATGCTCCAAGAGTTTCAGTTCTCTGAACGAACATGTGATATGATGGATAGGATCCTGCTGTGGTCCCCAGCTAGGGGATTTTCCCTCTGCAGATACTCTGATCTGTCCCAGCAGAATCACTGCTCTCTTGGCTCAGGAGATCCTTCCACATTGTGGGTTTCCACTCGCAGTGCTGAAGTCTGTTCTGCTCACCATCATTTTTGTAACACTGTAGCTTTCAAACTACATAAAATTCCATTTTAATAACATAGGTGCTATAAGATTATTCAACTTTTAACTTTACATACGAAAAAAAGAGGTCATTTCTTTTACTCTCCTGGCAGAGCCAGGGTGATGGTGGACTTGGACATTAGTGTGTAAGGACGTGAACTTGAGGTGCAGGACCAACAAGTACTTCTATTTCTAAGGCAGATCTCCTGAGTAGAAAGTATGACTTCAGTTTTCATACTCTGATTTAAATAATCAGATTAAAAACATTTGATAAGTAAATTTTTAGTTGGTTCCCTTGTCTCCAGGAAGACTTGATTTTTTTTTTTTTTTTTTTAAAGACTAAGTCTGGAGTAGCATTTGACAATGCTAAATATTTTCTCATTGTGGAAGCAAGCTGGGCCAAAGATCTTTCTGAATTGTTGAGCTCAGTGTTCAACTTCTTTTTTTCTCTTCCTTTTCTTTTCCTTCCTTCCTTCCTCCTCCTCCTTCCTTCCTCCTTCCCTTTCTCCTTCCTTCCTTCCACTTCCCTACCTCCTTCCTTTCCTCCTTCCATCCCTCCTTCTCCTTTTTAAACTCCTATTGAGTTTCTAGGGCCGTCTGAACTGCTTTGGGCTATATTAAAATGTGTTCCTATTCCTGAGGCTCCAACTCCGAGAGGACGAGGTGTGCCTCATTAGACTAGTACAGGGCACTCCTAGGACCCTCTCATCCGGCCCTTTTGCATCTTTTTGCCCTGTGTTTATAGTGATGGTAACAATACCTGTCCAGCTCAGAAATAAACGGGGAGTGAATGTGCTCATGTATATAAAAAGCTTTGGCCTTTCTTGAAGTAAAGACACTGTAAGAGATCTTTTGCTGAGAGCATGAGAAAAATCAGCAATCGCAGATCTGAAAAACAAACAGCCTCCCTCTGCAGCTGGGAAGTGACCATTTAACTTGACTCAGACCATACACCACTGAAGGTTCTTTTCCATCACAAGCTTTCTGAAATATCTTTTTATTATCATGATATATACTCGAGGGCTAATGACTTCCAAGTGCATCATGATGTAGGAGTATATTTTTTACTCTGCTTTACCCTGCTTTTTATTTTGTATTAGAACCAAAAGTTTCAGATTTCTTTTAATTCAGTGCCCCAAATTCTTGGAACAATATCCCAAGCATTTCCCACTGTTACATTGCACACTTGTCACATCGCCTCTCATCTCTCTTTCTTTCTCTAGGATACACTGTTGACTAGAATCCATAAGTTTTGCAGAAGTCCCATTTAACTTAATTTCCCAATCATTATTAAAGTTCTTTTTCAAGAATTAATCCATGCTTATTCATTTTCACTTTCAGTTTCACCTTCTTGCTTTTCAACAACCTGCTCTCCTCCACATTTCTCTCTTTCCTCATTGTGTACCTATTGTCAGCTATCCACAGAATATGTTAAATTTACAGAGGGTGATGAAGAATATGTATGATCCATAAACCTGATCATTAGACTCCGAATAACAAGGAATTGGCCATATGTCTTTTACTATTTAACAGGGAGTGGCAGAGTATAGTTGACTAATCACAGGAGTCCCTGCTTGTTGTAAGAATTATACTAGATAATAATATATATCTTCCTTTTGTGTGATATCCTTCTAGCTTCCAGGAATAGTCTTTTTAGGATCTCTACCCTCCAAACAGGTATTTTTAACTTAATATACTATTGAAAGGCACTGGAGTTTGGGGCTGCAGGAGAATCTGTACGGTAATTATTTTCTTTTCTGGGGCAAACCCTTGGTACTAATGCTGTCCATGGTTGTTTTGACTCTATTACATTTTGCTGAGCCCAGGACTGCTTTTGGAAGGTTTAGAAGTATCTAGGGAGGCGCCTGCCACTTTGATTATTCATACCCAGCTCTTTATTTTTATTTGAGACATAAAATAAAAACACACCCTGGCTTCCACTCGGCCTCAACTGGCGTTCATTTTAAAAACAAACCCCAAACTGACCAAATGGCAGCCATACAAGTTTTTCTGTGAATGAGTCATCTTTCATGTCAATCAGGGTTCATTTATGGAAGCATTAAATTCTGCTGCTGACCGGGCCATCTTTAGATGAATTAAAATGGGTTGGGATTTGGTAGGCTAGGAACAGAGGACCAAAAGGAAAACCAGGGTGATGTTATGACTCAGAAAGTGACTCTTTTCCTTCTGAATCAGAATTGAACCACTGGTAGAGTTAGTTCTCGTAGGAAGATGGCAACTTTTAGGT